ATTCCCACCTCACTGGGGGCCCGTTGGGAGCCCCCAAACCCAACCAGCAACACGAGGGAGGAGCTCTGAGGCCACCCAGGGCTGGGATTTCAAACACACAACAAAAAGAGGGGGGTGGGTGTCGTGTTTTGGGGGAGTTTCGTGCCCAGATGAATTAAATCAGGACCTCAGAGGGAGATTTAAGTGGATTTTTACTGAATTTGAGAGATGATATTACAAACAAGCCGTTGCCTGAAGCCTTTTTTTTCTTCAGGAGCAGGAGATCTGTTGTTTCCCCAGTGCAGCTCTGCTTGTTCTGCTATAAAAATGCTTTGCCAACTTCTCTTTGGAATATAAAATAATTAAAAAAAAAAAAACAAAACCAAACAACAAAACAAAACCAAAAAAACCACCAAGGCCATCCTTGTCCGTGGGGTTGGGAATAAGTTATCCTCAGTTTTCAATTATATACAGAAGGGACTTGCCAAAGGGCAGTGGGAGAAGAGTTTCCACAAATAAACCCTCCTTCCCACTTCCAAGTATTATTTACATCGGGCTGTACAAGGGTCTTCCAGGTCTTCCCAGACCCTGGAAAGCAAGAAGGGAAAGGATGAGTATCCAAGGTGTTTCCAGCACCATCCCCACCCTGGTTCCAGCCCTCCCAGGAGGTATTTGATTTACCTATGAGCAATTTAAAAGCTTGTTGTGAATATCTTCAAAGACTTGGTTGTACAGTTCTTCCCTCGACTTCAGGCCATCTAAATAAACTGGGAAAAAGAAAAAAAAAGCTGGAGTCAGGCTGGAGGTTTCCATCAGGAAAAGATTTTGGGAGATTAGTTATAATATTAGTTTTAAAATATTTCAGGTTTTATCAGCCCCAATGACAACTTGTTTCTCTATTGGAAAAAAACAACCATCCCAAAACCAGAACATCCTGCAAAATCCTTGTTTCATTGTAAAGAATGCTTTTTATTTATTTATTTTTTAATCCCTTATAAGTCCTCAGAGCATGAAGCAAAGGGAATAAGTTCCCAGCTATAAAACTGCCTGTATTTATCCAGACAAACCTTGCCAGAGTTACAACTCGGGAGTAAAAATAGCCCCTTGCATCATTACAGCCGAGGTTTTCTTGGATTGAATCACCCAATTCCTTAAATTCCCCAACTCCAAGGCTGAAGGATTTGTGTTTTGGGGAGAACTTACCAACATCCACACCACAGTCCTCCATCTCCTTCCTGTGTTTCAAGTACATGGGCCAGACGTGCCCGTCGAAGAGGCCGGGGGGGTCGGGGACGGTGTAATTCCGTGTGCTGGGAATGACAGCATGGAAAAGGAATGTCACGGTGATCCAACAGCTGCTCCGTGGTGGTCATGGAAAAGCTGATTGTCTGATTGTCACGGGCCTGTTCCTCGTGGATTGGAGCAAAGGAGGCTCAGGGGGGACCTTCTGGCTCTCCACAAATCCCTGACAGGAGGGGGGAGCCGGGCGGGAGTCGGGCTCTGCTCCCAGGGGACAGGATGAGGAGGAACAGCCTCACGTTGCACCAGAGGGGGTTTAAATTGGAGATTAGGGATAAAAAATTCATGGAAAGGGTTGTGAAGCGTTGGAACAGGCTGCCCAGGGCAGTGGTGGAGGCACCATCCCTGGGAGTGTCCAAAAACACGCGGAGGTGGCCCTTGGGGACACGGGGGAGTGACGGACACGGGGATGGTTGGACTCGACCTCAGGGGTCGTTCCCGACCTCAGCGGTTCAGTGACTCTGAGTTTAGCACCTAAAAGTCTCTTTTCTCCACTTTTTTCCAAATTTCCCACTCTAAACACCAATACATCCCATCCATTGCGGGCTCCAAATCCCTGGAAGTGTCCAAGGCCAGGTTGGATGGGGCTTGGAGCAATCTGGTCTAGCAGAAGGTGTCCCTGCCCGGGGCAGGGGGGGTGGAATCAAACAATCTCTAAGGTCCCTTCCAACCAAACCAGCCCATGATTCCATGATTAACAGCAAGGTAAAGGGATCTTTCCTTCAGCAGAAAGAAGGATTAGGTTGACACCAAAGAACCCTCTCACCTTCTCCTCCTCTTGCACTCGTCGTACGGCACCGCCAGGTAGTAACGGATGTCAAACAGGTCTATCAGTGGTCTGGGGGAGGGGAGAGAGAAAAAATGTGGATTATCTAATTTTTAATGACAGAGAAAAGTGTTAAATCACCCCAAAATCTCGCTGCCTCTCTGGGGTTTGTGTCTGCTGAAGGCAACCCAGGTGTGAGTTCTTTCCTCATGGGTAGTGGGTTTGTTGGTTGGTATAAACCGTGGAGAAGGTGTTTTTTTCTGAAGGTCAGAATGGCAGGGGAGGGGCTTTTCCCACCCAAATACCTGCCACTAATCCTGAGGAGGATCACACAGGATCCTGTGGGGGATCAGACACCAGGGTGGGAGCCCTGGGTCGTTCCAGAGCCTTCCAAACTCAGCGTGCAGGAACCCAAAGCTGTGATTCACCAACCAAACCAAATCAAACCCTGGGGCTGTGAGAATATGCAGCAAAATTTGGGACAAGGCAACTCCTTGGCTCATGTTCACACTCATGGAAGTGTCCAAGGCCAGGTTGGACAGGGCTTGGAGCAACCTGGTTTAGTGGAAGGTGATGGATGAGCTTTAATGTGGAAGGTGATGGAACTGGATGAGCTTTTAATGTCCCTTCCAACCCAGGGGAAAGAGGAACAAGGGGAAACGGCCTCGAGCTGTGCCAGGGGAGGGTCAGATTGGACATCAGAGGGAATTTCCTCATGGAAAGGGTGCTCAGGCATTGGAAGGGGCTGCCCAGGGGGGTTTGGAGTCCCCAACCCTGGAGGTGTCTGAGGAAGGACTGAACGTGGCCCTCAGTGCTCTGGGCTGGGGGACAGGGTGGGGCACAGGTTGGACTCCGTGGGCTGAGAGGGCTTTTCCAACCTCAGTGGTTCCATGAAGCTCCAGTTTGGGTGGTGGAATATTCCCTCTGGGCAAAGGAAAGGCTGTGGGAACAGGGCTGAGCGTTTCAGGGGTGTTTTTGTCCTTCAGGAGACACCAGAGTTGCTCCCTGGGGAGAGGCCAGGAGCAGGAGGCCCTTTGCCAGCCCCATCTCCAGTTGGCCATTCCTGGCAGGATTAATCCCAGGCTGCCTCCATGTTCCCCCCAGTTTGGGAAGCTGGGATGGTGCTGTCTTGTCTGGTACAGCCTGTAACAGCTCCAGCTTTGCCAAGTGTCACAAACAGCTCCTTCTCCTGAAAGGATTTTGTCAACAAAACTCCACTTTGGAGCCAAGAACGTTTCGCTCGCCACGTCTGCTGGGGGTGATTGGCTGAAGTTTATATATTTAGCTATTGGAATTTTTCTCTCTCTCTCTCTCCCCTGCCAGTTCTGCCTCCCCTTCTTCCTGCCAAGAATTTCCCTGCCCTGTATAAAAAAGGCAAAAAATAGGGTGATCTTCGCTGTGATGTTCACTTGGAATCCTGGAGTGGGTTGGGTTGGAAGGGATCTTAAACCCATCTCATCCCACCCCATGTCCCAGGGTGCTCCAAGTCCTGTCCAACCTGGCCTTGAAGTTACCTAATTAAGTTACCTAATTATTAAGCTCAGTTTAGTCAGTGAGAGAGAACTGTTCCTAAATTCCAGGAGAGGTCCCAAGCAGTGAATTGTTGATCTCCTTGTCCTCATCCATGAGCTTTCGGGTGGGGGTGAGGGGGATTCCAGCTCAAATCTTGGTCTAAACCCCCCCCTGGAGTTTTAGAAAAACTCACATTATCCCCTTAATTTTTTTTCAGCGTTTAGGGATTAATTTTTTTACGTTTTCCAGCAAAAACTCTTCGGGGTGAGAATTCAGAACAAGGCAGGGGATTAGTAAAAAAAAACAAAAAAAAAGGAGTTTTTAGCTGTGGCACGAGGGACCTTCCCTGGCAAACCACGGATAGTTCCCCAAACCTTACTTGTAATTATAAAGCAGGAAGCCTTCAATGACCAATATATGGATATCTTGGGAGGTTGGCTCTTTAGAGCCAGGTGTGACATTCACCCCGTGGGAACGGGCAAACTTCACCGGGTTCTCAATCCAGGCCCGCACCGTGCTCACCATTGCCTCCATATCCAGGGAATCCAACACTGGATCGGGAGAAAGGGGGTGGGGGAAAAGGAGACAGGATCAAAACACCACGAAACCGCACGGGGAAAGAGTCAAAACAACAACGAAAAAAAAAATAAATAAACAACAGGATGAATTTGTAGGAATTAACAGAAATTTTACCGTTAAGGCTTTTTTTTTTTTATTTTAAATAATTTAAAAAAAAAAAAAAAGAAAAAAAGAAAAGGAATACTTAGGAAAAAAAATATACATTACTGCATCCTATAGGGAACACTGCTCTTACCATCCCATTGTTTAAAGCCGTCTTCCCCGACTTCTATTTGATCTTGTGGCTGAAATATAGTGAGCAATAAAACATTGCTGCAACCTCAGCGTGATCAGTTCCCTGCGAGCCGATCAGCACAGCCCCCCTCCGGGCAACGTGTGAACATTTCCATTCCCGTGTCTCTCTCTCACCAACCCCAAAAAGTTTGGCCTGGCTCGGGCAAACCGGCTTTGGATAAAAGGCTTTGAGCTTAAATCCCTTGATGGGGTGTTAGCAAAAAGATAGAGATCGATATTTAAGGATTTGAAATGCAAATATAGTGTTAAGTAAGGGCTAAAAGTCGCGTTTTACAATAGGTGTTTTAACTCTAATAAAAATGCAGGACAGTCACAGCTTTGCTCGTGCTGGTGTTCACAGGAGGGAGAAGTTACAGATCTTTGTGGGATAATAAACACAATTCCTCCTCCAAGGGCTCCTGGGTGACCAAATCCGTGCAGGAGGCTCCTGGCAAAGCTTTTCCAAAGGAATATCTCGCTCTGCTCCTGTGAGGGCAGGACAGACCCAGCACACGGTGCTGGAGCACCTCATGTTTTAGGGGGTGACACAGAACTGCTCCAAGTACATTCCTGCATCTCTTGGATTTCCAGGTGGGATATTGTCATTCCCAAGGAATGGTGCACTGCTTTAGTGACATGGTTCTGCACCCCCGGGCAGGAGGCAACAAGCAAAGGTCTTCTGCTTTCACCTCTGCAATATTTTAACTGGGTTCTGATGCAGAGCTGTCAGAGCTCCCCAATAAACCCCCCTTTCTGCATTTAAACAGAGGTGCTTAAACCCCAAAGTATCATTTAGGAGCCACGTTCTTACTTGAGCAAAATAAGGAGGGAAAACCCAAAATGGAGAAAATGATTTGTGAAGAACCTCTGACTGAAATGAGCAGTTATATCTGACTGGAATGAGCAGTTATAGCTGTAGGTTATATCTGTAGTTAACACTAAAAGGTTTTGCTGTGACCTCTCTGAGCTGGGTCATGCCAAGTTCCCGTGGCATTTGTAAAGGTCAGGAACACCCCACCTGTCCAGTCATTTAAAAATTAAATATATATTTTTAAAAAAAAACACCCACCACACCTAAAATCGGGAAGTGTGTGGCTCCTAAGCTGTCCAAACTGACTGGGTGAGCATGCAGGAGCACCCAACACTGCCAGGGGACCCACCACAGCTATCCCTGAGCAGAGAAGCAGCAAATAACTCTGTGAGGAAGAGGGGGCTCGGCTTACCTTGAAGAAATCGTCCTGGTGGACCACGCAGCAGTTGGGGAGAGCCTTGATGAGCCTGTTGGTCAGGGTGGTTTTGCCACCATTGGTGACACTGCACGGGGGGCGACACAGAGGTGGGAGAACCACGTTAGAACTGGGTTAGAGCCGGGTCTGAGAGAGACATCAGGACCCCCGGGCTGTGGGGGGACCTCCAGGCCTGAAGGAGCAGAGTCCTGAGGGGCTCGGGCCGGGGTCCGTGGGGGGGGACCCTGAGGGACCAAAGCCTCTGAGGGGACTCGGCTCTGACCTGCCCCGAGGGACCCAAACCCCTGCCCATGGGGCGAGACCCTGAGGGACCTGGGACAATGAGGGGTTCTGACCCGCCCCAGGGGACCGGAATCCCGGCCCACGAGGGGAGACTCTGACAGACCCGAGCCCATGAAGGGACCCGGCCCCTGGGGGGGGAGACCCTGAGGGTCGCGGGCTCTGACCCGCCCTGAGGGACCCAAACCCCGCCCGCCACGTTCGAATTTCCCGCCTCTCCGACGCCGGCCGCCGATTGGCTGAGACCGCCCCCTCGCCCCGCCCCTTTCCCGGCCGCCGATTGGCTGTGACCTCCTCTCCTCTGCCCCGCCCCCTCGAGCGGCGCGCGCGCGCGCGCGGGGCCGCGTGTAACGGCCGCGCCGGTTCCCGCGCGCGCGCAACGGCCGCGCTAAGGGCAGCGTTGGGGAGGCGCCGCGGCCGCCATTGCCGGCCCGGCACAGCCGAGACCCATGAGGGGCCGCCATGGCCAGACAGGCACAGGCGTGATCCCTGAGGGGCCGCCATTGCCGGAGCGGCACAGGCGAGACCCATGAGGGGCTGCCATGGCCGGCCCGGCACAGCCGAGACCCATGAGGGGCCGCCCCCTCACAGCCGAGACCCCTGAGGGGCCGAGCTGCCGCCATTGCCACCCCTTCTCAGCCGAGACCCCTGAGGGGCCGCGGGGCCGCCATTGCCGGCCCCTCACAGCCGAGACCCCTGAGGGGCCGCCATGGCCGCCCCCTCACTGTCCGCCCCCTCACAGCCGCCGCTCCCTGCTCGCTCTGGGGACACCCGGCCCAAGCTGGGGCCGCCGAGCCGCCCCCGCTCCGCTCCCTCCGGGCGCCCTTCCAGCCCTTCCCGGCGGGCTCGGCTCCCTCAGGGCGGCGCAGGATCCCCTCGTGTAAAACGCCTGAATAATCGTCCTCTCCCATGGAGAGCTTGTTCCTCTGTGATAGGTTCGTATTTTATCCCAAGGCTGTACAAATCAGTCCTATATTATTAATATAAGAATAATCCATATTATCCGCCAACGCTCCTTTCCCCAAACCCTCCTGCTGTGCTCTCGTGCTGTCCCAGCGCACGCGAACTTCCTAAATCCTACTTTTTAAAGAACACTGAAAGCTTTTTACGCGCCACCCCCCCCCCTGTCTTGTTTGAAACGGGATTTTCCCCCTCGCGGTCTTTCAGAGAAGGTTTTAACAGAAATTTTTTGTCTCTGTGACCTCTAAATTGACTTGAGATACTTTTTTCCCTCTCAGCATCCCTCCTATTAAGCCTATAAAAGGATATGTAAAACCATAGATAAAAATATATACAGATATACACAAATATATAAAAATTGTGTATATAAATACACGAAGAGTGTATATAAATTTATAAAAGTATATAAATTAAGTGTATGCAAAAGTATATATAAAAGTATATGCTGCCCTGCAGAGCTCTCTGTATTGAAGCAGCATCTGTTCTGTTAATCCTATATAAAGGGATATATAAAATAATATAAAAGCATATATAAAATACATATTAAAGGATTTATAAAAGGATATATAAATTACATATAAAAGGAGATATAAATTACATATAAAAGAATATATAAATTACAAATAAAGGATATATAAATTACATATAAAAGGATAAATAAATTACATATAAAAGGAGATATAAATTACATATAAAAGGATATATAAATTACATATAAAAGGATATATAAATTACATATAAAAGGATATATAAACTACATATAAAAGGACATATAAATTACATATAAAAGCTTGTGCCACCCTGCAGAGCTCTCTGTGTTTAAGCAGCTTGAATTAAGTCTGAGTTGCCTCTTTTCTCAAATCCTGTACCCTGAATATTATTTTATAGCCAGATAAATAATCTCCAAGCCAAGTACAACAATTAAAAGGAAAACTAACATATATCCCCAACATCAACAGGGACTTACCCTCCGATGCCTATGATGTATTTCATTTTGCCCAGTCGCCTCCTTTGCCGGAACGTGGCGATGGAAAACCAAAAAAAACCACTTTAAAAAGGCTGAAACAACTTTCAGAGAGGAAGGAAAAACTCCGGCTGGCCCTGTTCCCTCTTTGCTCTGCCTCGGCTTTGCCTCCCTGAGCCGTTCATTGAAGGGAAGAGGCGGATTTGGCGCGGATTTATAGGGCCCTGTCCCCGCCCCGGCGCTGAGGGAAGAACCCTGTGACCATCATGAGCCCGAGGTCACGTTTTTGGGGGGGGTTGAGCCAGTCCTCGGCCCCACGTCACGTCTGGGGCGGCCACCCCAGTGTCACATTTTGGGGGGGCTCAGCCACCATCTGATATCACATCTTGGGGGGGTTCGGCCACCGTCCGATGTCACATTTTGGGGAGGGTTCAGTCAACCTTTCGATGCCGTTTTTGGGGGGTGTTCAACCCTCACCCTGGTTTCATATTTTGGGAGGGCTCATCCAACCCTCCAATGTCCCATTTTGGGGGGATTCATCAAACCCTCTGATGTCACATTCTGTGGGGGCTCAGCCACCATCTGATATCACATTTTGGGGGGTTCAGCCACCGTCCAATGTCACGTTTTGGGGAGGGTTCAGTCAACCTTTCGATGCCGTTTTTGGGGGGGGTTCAACCCTCACCCTGGTTTCATATTTTGGGGGAGGTCATCCAACCCCCTGATGTCACATTTTGGGGGGGCTCAGCCACTGTCTGGTATCATATTTTGGGGGGGTTCAGCCAACCCTTTGATGCCATTTTTGGAGGGGTTCAACCCTCACCCTGATGTCCCATTTTGGGGGAGTTCATCCAACCCTCTGATGTCACATTTTGGG